AAAAAAAAAAGATTCATCAATGAATTAAGGTACCCTCATTATTATTATACAGTTTGAACTGATATATGTTTTGTTGTGTATGGATGGCTGCCTAGATCCATTATCTCACTGCTGTAAGATACTGACTCATATTAACCTGATGCAAGACAGAATGAAACACTGCCTAGTCCTACAGCATCCTCACAATTGTTGCTATGCTCGAGCCCATTGCTGCTACAATTATGCCTATCCATCTCACTGGGGGTCTTCCTCTTTTCCTCAGAACCTCCACTTAACCAAACATGATATTCTTCTCCAGGTACTGGTCCTTCCTAATAATATGTCTGAAGTATGAGAGACATATCTGGCCATCCTGGCTTCCAAGAAGCATTCTGGCTGTACTTCCAACACAGATTTGTTATTCTTTTGGCAGTCCATGATACTTTTAATATTCTCCTTCACCACAATAACTCACATGCATCAATTCTTCTATGATCTTTCTCATTGGAAATTATAAAATGATTTTAGGTCTAAGATTTTTTGTGTGCATTTCTTAGCTTAAAAACAGAACAACAACAAAAAACTTGCCCTCATCAAATATTTGGTTACCCTAACATGTAATTTTAATTCCTCTTTATTTAAATTGAATTTCATAATAATGTATATTTGAGAAACCTCCAAAAGTAACCAAAAGGTTTTTTGGTTTTTTTTCCTTCTCTGTTTTTTAGGAGTATTGTTTCTAACTCAGAAGTATTCAAAATGTTTCTAATAGTTGTAGTTATTAAATACTCAAAGTGTCCCATTTTCAGCCATTGGAAGTCCTTTCAACTTGGCTTGTGTTCTTTTGACACAATTCCATTTTTCCTCAACGTCTTTTTTGCCTTCATGTACCACAGAATGCACCAGGATCACCTTTGTACAATTACTACCTCTGCCATTTCTCCAAGGTGTTATGCTTCTTGTTAGTAGGAAATGGTATTCTATGACTACAATCTGCGTATGAGTGATAGTTTTTGCTTCTAGTTTTCAATGTTTTAAAACTTTTCAATGGTCAGTGCTTGAAAATACCTATTTTTAAAAAGAAAAAACCAATTCATAATTATACTTTCATTTTAAACTTGACATTACAGAGTTTTTGTTTGTTTGTTTTTAAGTGTTTAATTCCTTTGGGCATTCTTTTTGTCCTTAGAATATATCTAAGAATGTATGAGTCCTGGTATGGTCCTATAAGATCAGCACTGTAATGCTGACTTCAAGGTCAAAGGTTCAAACCCACCAGCTACTCCTTGGAAACCCTATACAGGGTTGTGGTGAATCAGAACCAATTTGATAGCACTTAACAAGAATGTGTACTCAAAATAATTGTCATTTGAAATGGTCCTTTTCTCTGTGAGGTTTGTTGTCAACACTCCTACTTACCTAAATCTTCTCTGCTGTTGCTGTCGAGTTGGTACCTACCCATAACAACCTTATGCACAGCAGAACAAAACACTGCCCGATCCTGGGCTAACCTCACTATTGTAGCTATACTTGAGCCCATTGATGCTGCCACTTTACCAATCCATCTCTCTGGGGGTCTTCCTCTTTTTCTCTGACCCTCCACCTTACCAAACATGATTTC